AACAACAAAGAAAGGAGTAGCATTTAGGAGAGCTTGAGCTGGGGTGAATTAGATTGAAATGCTCATTTAGATTTCCTTAAGTTGGCAAGTACTATTTACAAGATGAGAAGATATGAAAGAGAGAAATGCCCTATCTTGGGTTACTCACCTTAACTTCTTAGGGTGGTGGAATTACCTAGTAAGGTTCCTATATTGATTTGAACATTCCAGTGAGTTTGAAGGGAAGGTGGTGGTATCCTTATATTCCAATTTTTACACATTCTTTGATCCGCAAATGTAAGATTGCACAGTGGATTTAGAACTTATTTAAGATATGTTGTAATCCAAATACCCCCAACACCACCAGGGACATTTAATTTAGACAGTTGGGAATAAAGGAATAAGGGAAGCTGTCAAAGCTGTTAACACTTGACTAGGAAGAAGCACCCTTTTCCATGAGATATGAGATGATCAACTATGCTTTAGCTGCATTAATAAAACTGAAGCCCAAAATAGGGAAAGGGTTCAGAAACAACCTCTTTGTTTGCAGGATACCAAGGGGCATGGCCAGAAACTAGATGCTGCCTCTGGAAAACAGCAAGAAATGTGAATGCAGACTGGGTAACATAAAGTCACTTACGTCATAACAGTGTTTTTGGGATGAAGTGAAAAGTTGATTGGCTTAGTTATAAAAGCTCTTGGAAATATGACCTGACTAATGAGGTGGTCTCCTGGCCTGTAATAATTCAACGGATCACTTTCCTCATTTAGGTTCAATGGGCATTTTGCTTTCAGCATCCCACAGGCTCCATGGGGCATTAGCAGCACAAACAGCAGCAGCAGCAGAAATATCATCCTGGCTATGCCTGCAAGAGTCATACACTCATGTGACAGCTGAACTCCTACAGTAGCTTCAGAAGCAAAGGTAGAAAAAGGAAACCTCCCATAGAAACAAGAGGCTTCTGATATTTATGACCCAGTTCTTCTTTCAGGCTTGTGACAATAAGTTATCTGATGCTGCCTGTGATTCTGATGTTTTGTTATTTGTGGACTCCAAGGCCATCGTTGGGGAAATCCCTGATCTAGATAAACAAATCACCATGATTTTGATAATTATAAGGTTAAGAAGGTCCACCTCCTCTGCAACTCCCTGGAATCGCTGTGTGACTCAATGGGCAGCTGCAGAGCCAGAGCAAAACATGTTTGTGAGAACTCAAAGATGGGACTCTCAATCTGGGCCCTGCTCAACTTGAGGAAACATTAACTTCAGTAAAGTCCAAGAAACTATAGAATAGCTAGTGTTATGATTAGTTGGGTCCAGGATCTGGGGCACACTATTGATTTTGAAAGGTGGGGAAAACTGTGGACTAAATCAAATTTATCGCATGTGTGTCACTCAAAGAAAATGTATTTAAGATGATGTACCGATGGTATATCACACCTGCCAAACTTGCTAAAATCTGTATTAATCAAGACAAAAATTGTTGGAAGTGTAAGGGGAAGAATTTCCTCCATATGTGGTGGACTTGCTCCAAAGTGAAAGCCTTCTGGGATATAATATATAATGAGTTAAAAAAGGTTTTGAAATATAAGTTCAATAAAAAAACAGAGGCATTTTTATTAGGTTTAATTGGTGAAGAAATACATAAAAGAGAGGTAAACGTGTTTATGTATGCCACAACGGCTGCAAGAACACTTCTGGCTCAGAAACGGAAGCAGCAGGAACTCCCAACACTGGAAGACTGGCAGGTCAAGATGGTAGAGTATGTAGAGATGGCCAAGTTGACGGGGAAGATCCGAAATCAGTGTGACGCACTGTTTCAAAAGGACTGGAACAAATATGTATTTTATATGAAAGAAAATTGTAAACATTTGAAAACGTTTGTAGGCCTGAATTGAAATGTTTTGTAATGTAAATATAAGGAACAGGTTTACCGACAAGAAGGTGAAATATTATAATTTGACAAAGGGTAAATAAGTGATTATAGAAATGTGAAAAATATGGAAAGATATGTGGAAGTCAGAAAGAGAGGGAGGGAAGGATGTTGATGCTCTTACAGAGTAATATATTAAGTTATAGAAGTATGTAAAAAAATGTGAATATGATTTAAGTGGAAAATCTAATAAAAATTATTAGAAAGAAAGAAAGAAAGAAAGAAAGAAAGAAACCATAGAATAGCCAAAGCAAAACGTGTTTGTGAGAACTCAAAGATGTGACTCTCAAGTCCAGGGAACTATAGAATAGCTATGATGGACCAAGACCAGCAAGACAGGACATGATAGAGGTGCATAAAGTCCTGTATGGTGTGGATAATATGGATAGGAAAAGTTTTCCTCCCTCCCAGTAATAGTACTAGAAGTTTGGCCTTTAAGTGGGAATTTAAACCCTTGTGTCCTAGGCTCCAGTCCAACTCCCTGATTACTACACCACACTGCCTCAGAACTATAGATTCATTGGCATCCAGTGGAGGTCTCGAACACCGAGATAGGCCATGAGATACTCACATGAGCTAATAGACGTTCCGGTTCATGAGATAGCCCAACCAGCTGACTGGTCCATTGGATTTAGACAGTAGCAATAATATCTGGCTTTAGCTTAGTAATATACCAGCAGCCAACTAGAGATTCAATTCAATTCAGCTTCCAATGACGCTGAGTGTTGGAAGAGTCAGGACAGAGAAATCTCTTATAGACCTTGAAGATTGCTCCTTCCCTGGAAGAACTTCAATCATACATAGTTGGGCTGAGGAAGCCTATTAACATCAGTGTTATCTATGTGGTCCAGTATGTAACAATCCATTATACATTCAAGCACAGTGTGTTTTTCTGCAGGTGTTAGTGGAGTTTGGGGCAGATTCTTGAAGATGTGGAACCTTCTGAAGTGACTCTCATTGCTTGCAAATGAGGTTTTCAGCTGTTGAGGTTCTATTGCTCTTTCAACCACTGGGGGAAAAAACATGATTGTTAAAACTCACTGAAGGGCCTTTCAGTCTATGTATGTGTAAAAGTTTCCTGTAATGCCAACAGTGCAATCCACAGTCAGCATTTAAAGACAATATTGATTTACACCAGTTCAGTTCAGTGAAATGGACATCTTCATTAACGAGTCCATCAGATTATAAGATGGATAGGACTGTAGGGCCTCTCTATCCTTGTTATACGTTCACTTTCATCATTCATTACTACTTCCTTTCACAATCTTATTGTGGTCCCATACATGTGATCTCCCAACCGTTGCCCTGCTTGATTTATTAAAGCTTGCCAAGAGGGTATCAGTGGGTGGATTCAGGAATTTTCAATGCATCCTCATGGAATAATAATAATAATAAATTTTATTTATATCCCGCCCTCCCCAGCCGAAGCCGGGCTCAGGGCGGCTAACAACAATAAAACAGTACAAAAGTACAGCATAAACAACATTCTAAAATCATTCATTATAAAATTAATTAATTCAAGCCACTGGCAACCATTGGGCCAGAGCTCCACGAAGATTGCCGAGGTAGGGAGTCAGGCTGTGCCCTGGCCAAAGGCCTGGTGGAACAGCTCTGTCTTGCAGGCCCTGCGGAAAGATGTCAAGTCCCGCAGGGCCGTGGTCTCTTGTGACAGAGTGTTCCACCAGATGGAAGAAGGTAGTCCTGGCTGTCTTGAAATATGTGGTGGCTTGATCACTCCTGAATATTTCCAACATGAGCCTATTGACTTATGACGACTACTGCTAACAGGTCGCTAATACTGGTTGTTTTGGAAGTGTTGATGGTAGAGAGGTTTCTGGCAAGACATTTGTGAACAATGATTTTATGAATTTAGAGCTTCTGCAATTTTCCTGCCATAAATCAGGTGTCAGGGACTGGGCAGAGGAGGAATGGTGTAGAACGCCTCGCCATCTTGACTCTTCCAGAGAAGAGGAAGACAGTATAGATTTATAACAGTGGTTTGTGGGAGGTCACAGCTCAGAGGCAAATGAGGGGAAAAGTTGGGAAATAATGGGAGACAAGGAGGAAGCGGCAGAAGTGGAGCGGCAGCTGGTTGATACAATGTCATTAGAAAGCATCCAGGACCCTCCATCTCCTAGAACTTGGCAAGCCTTAAAAGTAGGAGAGCAAAGAGCTCAAAGACAGCTGGCACGTAGCAACACCCGGAGAAGTGACGAATGAGGATGTGGGAGAGACAAGGGTGGAGATTCACTTGGGACAACAGCATTATCCAAGAGGCTGAGTTCTATAGCCTCTCTGTAAAATTGAAATAAAAAAGGACGGTAAGAAACCTTTCCTTTTCTTTATGCTTTCCTGGGCAACCAACCAGAAGCTGCTTACAGCATTCTGACAAATAGTCCTGTGTCAACTTTAATTGGCTGTTAGGTCATAAATCATGACAGATGGAGTAGCAGGAGCCACGTGGCAGCCAGCCAACACTGATAACCGAGAAGAACCATTTCAATGGCTTTTACAACAAAATTTATTGTTAAGATCACACATAGAACAATTAAGCAGCACAATAAATCAACAAAATGCAGAATTCGCAAAGATTTCCTGGGGTATCACCTCACAAGTGAGGGGGTGCATATGGATCCATCCAGCTAAGGTGCAGAGCGTAGTTTCGCGGCAGGAGCCCAAGGCAAAGAAAGACCTGCAGAGGTTTTTAGCATTGGCCAAATATTACCACAAGTTCATGTCAGCCTATTCAAGATTCACTACACCCCTCAGGGATTGCTTGAGGGGCAAGAATCCGTTCCAGTTGACAGCTGAGGCGCAACAGGCATTTGAGCATCTCAAAACCTTGTTCTCCTCAGAGGTGTACCTAGCTCATGCAGACCCCCACATGGTGTTGGTCAAATAAACAGATGCCTTTGGCAGAGTGGTTGGTGCTGTGCTGTTAAAGGAAGACCAAGATGACCAAAGTCTTTATGGTTTCTTGGGCAACCAGCTGGAAGCTGCTGACAGCATCCTGACAGCAGTGTTTGGTCCACGTTAACAACATTGTATTATATATGTGAAGCCAAGAATCTTCAAAGAAGCTACGAATCAGACACTACCACCTTCACTTTTTGTAGTTAGATGTGCCTTTGTGTTCAGATCAGGCCTGAGGATGATAATGTAGCACTTGGGAAGGAAGATGCAGCCCAGAAGCCCAGCACTGGAGGCCAATATAGAGAAGATCTGCACAGCTACCGTGTATTTCCCCTTGGTGCTCAGGTAGGTGGGCACAAAGGACACCCAAACACTGCAGAAGACCAGCATGCTGAAGGTGATCAGCTTGGCTTCATTGAAGGACCCGGGAAGCTTTCTGGCTAGGAAAGCCACAGTGAAGCAGATGGCAGCCAGGAAGCCCATGTAGCCAAGGACAGTGTAGAACATGGCAACAGATCCCTCATTGCATAGAAGGATGATCTCTCTAGCTTGGGAGTGCATGTCGGAGTCTGGGAAGGGTGGGGAGATTCCCAGCCAGATGCTGCAGATGACAACCTGAATACTGGAACAGGAAAGGACAATGGAGTTGGCCAGACTCTTCCCCAGCCATCTCCTCACCTTGTTCCCTGGCTTTGTGGCCAGGAAGGCCAGCACCACAGTGATGGTTTTTGCCAAAACAGAAGAGACAGCAACTGAGAAGATGATGCTGAAGGCTGTTTGTCTGAGAAGGCAGGTCACTTTCCTTGGCCGGCCGATGAACAGGAAGGAGGAAAAAAAGGAAAGCAGGAGGGAGCTGAGGAGTATATAGGATAAATCCCGATTGTTAGCTTTGACTATGGGAGTTTCCATGTATTTAATGAAGATTCCTTTCACAATGCCAGTGGTCAAGGACAAGAAGAGGGCAAAGGACACCAGGAGGATCCCCAAGGGTTCTTCATAAGTGAGAAATGTTATAGTCTTGGGGACACATTTGTCTCGTGCTTGATTTGCATGCTGATCTTCTGGGCATCTGGTGCAATGCTTTGCATCTGAAGAGAAGAAGAATGACTTCAGAATGACTAACAAAACTCTTACATCCATACCTGTCTGTTTTCTGACAGAGGTTGCCATGGTGATGGGGTGTGCGTTTGAGGTGTCAGGAAAATACAGTCTTTAGCAAGATGTGCTGGGAAGAATAAGGCAGAGAACAAGGAGGCGCCCATTTTGGCTAGGCTGGCTGAAGATTGGTTGGGAGAGATTTCTTCGACTCAAGTAAACTGTACTGCTATGGAAAAAAGTCGCTCTTGATCATGTGCTAAGATCTGGACTTCCTCCATGCAGACTGAAGGTGTAAATATGTGAATAAATCATATTTCTTAAAGCTACAGCAGTCTCCCCTGAGTCTTCAGTTCTCCAAAGGTTGGGAGAGATTTCTTCCACTCAAGTAGTAGTAGTAGTAGTAGTAGTAATAATAATAATAATAATAATAATAATAATAATAATAATTATTATTATTATGGTGTGGTGTAGTGGTTAAGAGCGGTAGTCTCGTAATCTGGGGAACCAGGTTCGCGTCTCCGCTCCTCCACATGCAGCTGCTGGGTGACCTTGGGCCAGTCACACTTCCTTGAAGTCTCTCAGCCCCACTCACCTCACAGAGTGTTTGTTGTGGGGGAGGAACGGAAAGGAGAATGTTAGCCGCTTTGAGACTCCTTAAAGGGAGTGAAAGGCGGGATATCAAATCCAAACTCTTCTTCTTCTAATAATAATAATTTATTATTTATACCCTGCCCATCTGGCTGGGTTTCCCCAGCCACTCTGGGCGGCTTCCATAGAAACCAAAAATACACTAAAATATCACAGATTAAACACTTGCCTGAACAGGGCTGCCTTAAGATGTATTCTGAATGTCAGGCAGTTATTTATCACTTTGACATCTGATGGGAGGGCGTTCCACAGGGAGGGCGCCACTACCGAGAAGGCCCTCTGCCTGGTTCCCTGTAACTTGGCTTCTCGCAGGGAGGGAACCACCAGAAGGCCCTCAGCGCTGGACCTCAGTGTCCGGGCAGAACGATGGGGGTGGAGACGCTCCTTCAGGTATACTGGGCCGAGGCCATTTAGGGCTTTAAAGGTCAACACCAGCACTTTGAATTGTGCTCGGAAACGTACTGGGAGCCAATGTAGGTCTTTCAAGACCGGTGTTATGTGGTCTCGGCGGCCGCCCCCAGTCACCAGTCTAGCTGCCGCATTCTGAATTAGTTGTAGTTTCCGAGTCACCTTCAAAGGTAGCCCCACGTAGAGCGCATTGCAGTAGTCCAAGCGGGAGATAACTAGAGCATGCACCACTCTGGCGAGACAGTCCGTGGGCAGGTAGGGTCTCAGCCTGCGTACCAGGTGGAGTTGGTAGACAGCTGCCCTGGATACAGAATTGACCTGCGCCTCCATGGACAGCTGTGAGTCCAAAATGACTCCTAGGCTGCGCACCTGGTCCTTCAGGGGCACAGTTAGCCTATTCAGGACCAGGGAGTCCTCCACACCAGCCCGCCCCTGTCCCCCAAAAACAGTATTCTGTCTTGTCAGGATTCAACTTCAATCCATTAGCTGCCATCCATCCTCCAACCGCATATTGATGGACACCCAGTCCAAACCTGATGATCTCTTCCAGCGGCTTCATATAGATGTTAAAAAGCATGGGGGAGAGGACGGAACCCTGAGGCACCCCACAAGTGAGGGCCCAAGGGTCTGAACCCTCATCCCCCACCACCGCTTTCTGAACACGGCCCAGGAGGAAGGAGCGAAACCACTGTATAACAGTGCCCCCAGCTCCCAACCCCTCTAGACGGTCCAGAAGGATGTTATGGTCGATTGTATCAAAGGCCGCTGAGAGATCCAGCAGAACTAGGAAACAACTCTCACCTTTGTCCCTAGCTCGCCGGAGATCATCAACCAGCGCGACCAAGGCAGTTTCAGTCCCATGATGAGGCCTGAATCCCGATTGGAAGGGATCCAAATGGTCTGCATCCTCCAGGCATGCCTGGAGTTGTTCAGCAACCACGCGTTCAATCACCTTGCCCAAGAATGGAAGATTTGAGACTGGGCGATAGTTGGCCATACTGGCCGGGTCTAAAGATGTTTTTTTAAGAAGCGGTTTAATGACCGCCTCTTTCAGCGGATCTGGGAATGTTCCCTCACAGAGGGAAGCATTCACCACCCCGCAGAGCCCATCGCCCAGCCCTTCCCGGCTTGCTTTTATTAGCCAGGATGGGCAAGGATCAAGGAGACAGGTGGTTGGTTTCACGCGTCCAAGCAGCCTGTCCACATCCTCGGGGGTAATGGATTGAAATTGATTCCATGCGACTTGACCAGACAGAGCTCTAGCACTCTCCCGCCCCAGCCCTGCTCCCACGGTGGTGTCTAGGTCCTTCCGAATATGAGTGATTTTATCTTCAAAAAACTGCAAAATCGTTGCAGGAGATCTTGGGGTCTTTACAAGGTCCCGGTGGTAAAGGTGGTTCCGTTAAATTGCGAACCACCTGAAAGAGTCTCCTGCTACTATTTTCTGCAGATGCAATAGAGACGGCGAAGAAAACTTTCTTCTACTTTTCTTTCTACCAAGTCGCTATCGCCACTTGGTAGGCTCGACGTTGAGCTCTAACCTGTGTCTGGTCAGATTTGGAGTGAGTTTTCTGCCACCGACGCTCTAGCTGTCTCAGCGATTGTTTCATCGCCCTCAGCTCCGAAGAAAACCACGGGGCTGTCCAGGCTCCATGCAATCAGAGAGGGCGCTTCGGAGCCAGACAGTTGATAGCCCTGGTTAACTCCGCATTCCAGCGGGCCACCAGGGAATCAGCTGAAAGGCCATCAACATGGGCTAAAGCATCCCCTACCACTCTCTGGAAACCATTTGGATCCATTAAGTGGCGGGGGCGGACCATCCGAATTGGTCCCACCTCCCTGCAGAGGGGAAGGGGCGCGGAGAAGTCCAGTTGCACCAGGAAGTGATCTGACCATGGCACTTCTTTGGTTTCGCTTTTACTTAGTGTCAGATCACCCACGTCACTAGAGGTGAACACCAGGTCTAAGGCATGTCTATGACTATGAGTTGGGCCAAACTTATTCAGGGACAGCCCCATGGAGGCCATGCTTTCCATGAAGTCCCGAGCAGCTCCTTGTAAGGTTGTGTCGGCATGGATGTTAAAATCCCCCAGGACAACCAAACTAGGTGTCTCCAGGAGAAAATCCGCCACGACCTGAAGCAGCTCGGACAGGGAATCCTTGGTGCAGCGGGGAGGTCGGTACACCAAAAGGAATCCTGTACTGTCCCTATTGCCCAACGTCCAGAACATGCACTCAGAAAACTGGATCTTCCCAGTAGGACGCCTGGTGCAAGCTAGTGACTTCCTAAAAATCACTGCAACCCCCCCCTCCCCGCCCACATGACCTGGGTTGCTGTGCGTAAGAGAAACCTGGTGGGCAAGCAGCGGCAAGGACAGGCCCATCTGCTTCCTCCAACCAGGTCTCTGTCACACATGCCAGGTCAAATCCTCCATCCACAATCAGGTCGTGGATGGCAGTGGTTTTATTCATCATTGACCTGGCATTACACAGCAACACCTTCAGGTCATGTGGGTTTCCCCTGTTGATTCCAGTATCCATCTGGTCAAGGCCAGACCCGGAGGCAGGGATAGTCTTCAAACAACGAGTAAACCTGCCTCCTCGGTAATGACATGGTCTGGTCTTAGCGTAACTCCACCTCCTGCCCATGATCACCGAGATCGGATGTCCCACTGGAACAGGGAAGCAATGGCAGAACACTTCCCACACTTCCTCAAAAGTTTGTTCCAAATAAGGGCCTGGGCCACGCCCCCTGGGCCAGTTGGAAAAAGCCTTGGAAGGGAGCAGGCCCTGCAGTCCTCACTCAGCCGATGTGCGGCACTGCTATAGTAAACAAGTCGCTCTTGATCATGTGCTAAGATCTGGACTTCCTCTATGCAGACCGAAGGTGTAAATATGTGAATAAATCATATTTCTTAAAGACACAGCAGTCTCCCCTGGGTCTTCAGTTCTCCAAAGGAGCACGAACCCTGTGTGACCCCTGGAATACCAAGAAATCTTGCCTCTCCCTTTCTTCTGGAGTCACCCACCTTCGTGAACGGAGATGGTCCCTTCTGCACAAGGAGCACAATCGTAGCAGCAAACGGCCTCCCCTTCTTTAGCCACTCTGGCATATCCAGGGCGACAGCTTTCAGTGCATCTTGAATGAGGCACAACCTAAAAACTAAGAAAAGGAGCATCCCAGGAGATCAACATAAAGCACAGACATCATCTGAAGGCTCTGACTAAAAAATGCTCAAATAAAAATCATTTTTAGAATACTGAGACCAGGTTAGAAAGCTTTAAAATGGGAGTGAGACTCTTCCAAATTTGGTAGAACTGTGGAGAACTCATTTTCTTTCTGACATAAAGTTTCATTTTTAATTGTTGAACGCAAATATTGTTGAACACAAAGGATTAAACAAACTATGGCCTTTTAAACTGCATTTGAGATTTATTGAAGCTCCCTAGAGAAAAGGTGGGATATAAGTGCAACAAATAAACACATAAATGAATGAATTCAATGACCTTGCTGAATTTCCCAGGCCACACAATGGCTTCTGGTTTAATGGAGAATTTTATGCCGGAGGATGCCTGTCCCTCGATGCTCCCGACTTTCTTTCTGCTCTGAGATCTATTGGGAAATACGACCCAGTTCACGATATCAAAGTTGGCAGTCAGCTCCCCATTCTGATCAGAATACATCCCTCCTATGGATGAATTGGAAAGCCAAATTTCTTTCAAGAAAGTGTGAAGCTAGAATGGCAGAGAAAACACCAGCTTTAGAAAACATGATATCTGGATTTTGTGAGAAAACAGCAGGCTTGTGTGCAAACTCCATAAGAGATGAGAGTAAATTATGTTTAAACAAAATAATTGCAGGATATTTCTGGGTATATGATTGAGCAAAGCTTTTCATGACTTTGGATATTTTGTGGGGCGTAGTCTTGTTTTTCTTAGATAATTGAGTAAGGTTCCAGACATCTTACCAGTTTTGAGAGAATGGTCCTAAATCAAGGACACTGAGGCCTTGTGCCAGCTAAAGATAACAACCTTTTGGTCATTACAGCTGGTCTTTTATCAGGTTATAAATTCACAGGAAATATGACTCAAATAAACACAAATAGAGGACACATCCTAGCAAGCACTTGGCAACTAACAAGGCTTTTAATTGGCTTTAAACGATCCTATTGTGATTTCAACTTTCTGTGTTTTAAATAAGCGTTTTCTTTAGTGAATTTCTTTTCATTTTAACTTTTTTGTAAAGTGGTTTGAGGGTTTTTTCAGGAGTCAAGTAATACTGTATATAAATGTTATGAACTAAATATAGTAATTAATCAACTAATTAATTAATTAAACTCTATGTAAGAGAATGCTCCTTAACAATTTTTCATAGCTTATTTTGTGCTTTGAAAGATTCCCCCTACCTTTCCCAAATTATCTATTAAAAATTTTATTTTAATCAATTTTCAAAGTATATTAGAACCACAAAAATAGATGAACAATTAAAAAAAACTTATTAACATGTCTAAAGACAGGGCATAGGAAACCTAAACATATTTAACAATAACAATGAGGTAAACTACAAAGAATATACAATCTGAAACGGATTCCAGAAGGTATTTACAAAAAAGGGGAGAGGACAGACCTGCCATGGCTGCAGTCTTTGAAGTTCCAATCTGTCTCCTCCACTCGCCATTAACATCCATTTGGATCTGGATGAATATGCGACATTTAAGGCCTGGGCCACAAACTGGACGCCGTAGTAAGTGCTGTAGCGGTCTTGAGACCAGATTTCCCCCATCTCTTTCTGGGACAATGCTTCCAGCGGTTCCTTTTCTGTGCATCTTGTCCAACCCTCCACGGATAGCACACTGTTTGAACATGTACAACTGAATGCTCTTGACCAAAACTGTGCAGCTGCAGCTTTAGCTTCAAATGAAAGTGGAGTATAGTAGCCATGTTCTGTCCGTTTTTTGGTATTCATTACAAAGGACAAAGAACCTTGGGCAGGCTGGAAGTAATCTGTGCCACCAAACAACATCTCATCAATGTCCAGAAGATCTGTTGTGATCCAGACTATCCCCTGAGATTTCCTCACTTCCTGAATTCTTTGTAACATCACAATTGGATAAATTCTGTGCTCAGAGTCCCCATAATAAACAAACACCTTGACTTGTCTCAAATCAGATGGTTTACAATGTAAGGACGACATTTGTCCCAGGGTCGAAATATGAATTTTTTCCAAGAAAGCAACACAAATCCCACTGCGGATCAGCAGAAGGGTGAAAACACTCAGGAACCTTTCTCCATTTTCATTGTCTGGAACAAAGAGACCGATCCACGTCCACCCAAAATGTAGCAACAACTTGATAATCCCCAAGTGCTGGGTTTCTTCTTTGGGGACCATCCGGTAGACAAAAGGGAACTGGGTTTTGTCATCCAGATCCTGAGCAGCAGAGCCAAAACTGATCTAGTAAGAAAAGGATTGGTGTCAGGGTTTCAGGAATACACAAGAAAGGCCTCATTGCATGATCAGGCCAAAGGCCCATCTTCTCACAGTAGCTAACCAGAGGCTTATGGGATACATGCCATGCCTCTGATGGAGGAATCGTGTTCAGAAGAGGACCTGGAGTTTACAGAGAAGGAAGTGGCTCCAATGGACACTGGGGCAGAACAAGGCATCTGGGCCTTGTGGGGTCATGGCACCCCAAACTCTTCCTAGAGTCACAATGGGGCACTACACAGAATGAGAGGCAGAAGGTAAGCAGCTGCACAGTTTTGAAGAGTGCAAGTACTTGAACTTCTGTGTTCAGTTAGCTGTCAGACATCCACTGGTCTTCCTGAGAAACAAGAACCCTTTAGGGGCCAGGGGTACTTTCAACCACATTTTCCTATTGACAAACCGGGGAGGGAGATAGGAAGTGGCTGAGGGTTTTCTAACTCACTTTCCACTTTATTGCAATGTGATTTCCACCCCCCTTTGGTCTCTCTTTTTGCGTGCTACTCTTTTGTGTTCCCTGGAAAATTTGGCCCTTAGGACATTGCTGAAGTACAACTTCCATCAGTCTGTACAAGCATGGCTAATGGCCGGATGGTTGGCTTTGCAGTTTAGAAACTTCTTGGGGCATGAAGGGGTTCCTCACCACTGCTAGAGAGACAGCAGAGAGGAATTAAACACAATAGATCTCTTCCCTTCCAATTCCTACCTGGGGCATTTTGTAGATGCCTAACATGCTTGAAATCTGGCTGGGGATTTCAGAAGAAGTTGCTTCAAAAACAGCCAACAGGTTATTCTGTCTTCCACAGCTGTAGTTTGGAATACTGTCTAGCATGGCATCGGCAGTTGTCCTGACATCAAAAGCGGCCTCATAGATGCTATAGCCCAGGGTGACATTGGCTAAATGCTTAAGATGCCGGGTGATCTCCTGGGTTGCAAACAAGATGGAGAGGACTGGTGAGATATCCTCTGCTGACCAACTGCAAATAAATGAATACACGAAAAATCATTTTAGCGTTCCATTCTCCATTAAATGAAAACAACTCCTTGCTCTATACAAGTTATATCTAAGGGGAAACTCTGCAGCTAGGAAGGAGCAGAATCTTGCCCAGATCCACCAACAAAGAAAGGAGTAGCATTTAGGAGAGCTTGAGCTGGGGTGAATTAGATTGCAATTTAGAGTTCCTTAAGTTGGCAAGAACTATTTACAGGATAAGAAGATATGAAAGAGAAATGCCCTATCTTGGGTTACTCACCTTAACTTCTGAGTCTCGTGGAACACCTAGTAAGGTTCCTATACTGATTTGAGCGTTCCCGCGAGTCTGAAGGGAAGGTGGTGGTATCCTTACATTCCAATTTTTACACATTCTTTGATCCACAAATGCAAGATTGCACCGTGGATTTAGAACTTATTTAAGATACATTGTAATCCACATACACCCAACACACCGGGGACATTGAATTTAGACAGTTTGTTGGGAATAAAGGAATAGAGGAAGCTGTCAAAGCTGTTAATACTTGACTAGGAAGAAGCACCCTTTTCCATGAGATGATCAACTATGCTTTAGCTGCATTAATGAAACTGAAGCCCAAAATAGGGAAAGGGTTCTGAAACAACCTTATTGTTTGCAGGATACCAAGGGGCATGGCCAGAAACTAGATGCTGCCTCTGGAAAACAGCAATAAATGTGAATGCAGACTGGGTAACATAAAGTCACTTACGTCATAACAGTGTTTTGGGATGAAGTGAAAAGTTGATTGGGTAAGTTCTAAAAGCTTTTGGAAATATAACCTGACTAATGAGGTGGTCTCCTGGCCTGTAATAATTCAACGGATCAGTTCCTATATTTCGGTTCAATGGGCATTTAGCTTTCAGCATCCTACTGGCTCCATGGGGCATTAGCAGCAGAAACAGCAGCAGCAGAAATATCATCCTGGCTATGCCTGCAAGAGTCGTACACTCTTGTGACAGCAGTGACATTAGAAGCACAGCTGGACTCCTACAGTAGCTTCAGAAGCAAAGGTAGAAAAAGGAAACATCCCACAGAAACAAGCCCTGCCAGCCCCAAATCTCTCAGGCAGGGGTTCTGATATTTATTACCCAGTTCTTCATTCAGGCTTGTGACAATAAGTTATCTGATGCTGCCTGTGATTCTGATGTTTTGTTATTTGTGGACTCCAAGGCCATAGTTGGGGAAATCCCTGGACTAGATAAACAAATCACCATGATTTTAATAATTATAGGGTTAAGAAGGTCCACCTCCTCTGCAACTCCCTGGAATCAGTGAGTGACTCAATGGGCAGCTGCAGAGCCAGAGCAAAACATGTTTGTAAGAACTCAAATCTGGGACTCTCAATCTGGGCCCTGCTAAACCTGAGGAAACATTAACTTTAGTAAAGTCCAAGAAACTATAGAATAGCTAGTGTTATGATTAGTTGGGTCCAGGATCTGGGTCACACTATTGATTCTGAAAGCTGGGAAAAACTGTGGACTAAATCAAATTTGCAGCATGTGTGTCACTCAAAGAAAATGTATTTAAGATGATGTACCGATGGTATATCACACCTGCCAAACTTGCTAAAATGTATAGAAATCAAGACAAAAAATGTTGGAAGTGTAAGGAGAAGAATTTCCTCCACATGTGGTGGACTTGCTCCAAAGTGGAAGCCTTCTGGGATATAATATATAATGAGTTAAAAAAGGTTTTGAAATATAAGTTCAATAAAAAAACAGAGGCATTTTTATTAGGTTTAATTGGTGAAGAAATACATAAAAGAGAGGTAAACATGTTTATTTATGCCACAACGGCTGCAAGAACACTTCTGGCTCAGAAATGGAAGCAGCAGGAACTCCCAACACTGGGAGATTGGCAGGTCAAGGTGGTGGAATATGTAGAGATGGCCACGTTGACGGGGAAGATTCGGAATCAGTGTGATGAACTGTTTCAAATGGACTGGAACAAATTTATATTTTATATGAAAGAAAATTGTAAACTTTTGAAAACATTTGTAGGCCTGAATTGAAATGTTTTGTAATGTAAATATAAGGGACTGATTTACCGACAAGAAGGTGAAATATTATAATTTGACAAAGGGTAAATGATTATAGAAATGTGAAAAATATGGAAAGATATGTGGAAGTCAGAAAGAGGGAGGGAAGGATGTTGATGCTCTTACAGAGTAATATATTAAGTTATAGAAGTATGTAAAAAATGTGAATATGATTTAAGTGGAAAATCTAATAAAAATATTTAAAAGAAAGAAAGAAAGAAAGAAAGAAAGAAAGAAAGAAAGAAAGAAAGAAAGAAAACTAGAGAATATCCAAAGCAAAACGTGTTTGTGAGAACTCAAAGATGGGACTCTCAATCTGGGCCCTGCTAAACTTGAGGAAACATTAGCTTCAGTAAAGTCCAGGAAACTATAGAATAGCTATGATGGACCAAGACCAGGAAGACAGGACATGATAAAGGTGTATAAAGTCCTGCATGGTGTGGATAATATGGATAGGAAAAGTTTTCCTCCTTCCCAGTAGTAATACTAGAAGTTTGGACTTTAAGTGGGAATATAAACCCTTGTGTCCTAGGCCCCAGTCCAACTCCCTGATCACTACACCACACTGTCTCAGAACTATAGATTCATTGGCATCCAATGGAGGTCTCTAACACAGAGATAAGTCATGAGATACTCACATGAGGTAATACAAGTTCGGATTCATGAGACAACTAAAAGCATATTTTTATAATCAAAACAGCAACAACTATTTTAATATTTATACCGTACCCACAACAAGAGCTGTTTGAAGAATTGCTGTGTCGTCTGATATGTTCACCCACAACTTAACACATATACCCAGAACAAATTTAGTTGGTCTGTAAGGTGCTACTGGACATTTTTTTAAAAATTATTTTTATTTATTTCATCTGTTTCAGACCAACATGGCTACCTACCTGAATGCAGTAGTCCAAGTGGGAGATAACTAGAGCATGCACTACTCTGGCGAGATAGTCTATGGGTATGTAGGGTCTCAGATGGCCTACCATATGCAGCTCAATCCATTGGCCACCATACAGCCTTCAACCATCTACAGATACTCACAGGACCTAGTTACTCACACAGGACCTGGTGACCTAGTTGCAGGAGTTTATTGGCCAGTGACGTTTATTGGCCAGAAACATATTTAGGTGACTTCCCGTGTCTGGACTTCTGGGTGCAATGATCTTAATTAGGGCTTTAAAGGTCAGCACCAACACTTTGAATTGTGCTCGGAAACATACTGGGAGCCAGTGAAGTTCCTTTAGAATCACTGTTATATGGACCTGGTGGAGATAACCAAAGCATGCACCACTCTGGTGAGACAGTTTGTGGGCAGGTAGGGTCACAGCTGGCATACCATATGGAGCTGGTAGACAGAGTTAATCTGTGCTTCCATGGACACCTGTGAGTCCAAAATGACTCACCTGCGCACCTGGTCCTTCAGGGGCACAGTTGCCCCATTCAAGACCATTCAAGACCAGGGGGTCCCCCATGCCCGCCCCCATCTCCCAAAAACAGTACCTCTGTCTTGTCAGGATTCAACTTCAGTCTGTTAGCCACCATCCACCATCCAGCCACCTCCAGATACTCACACATTAACCTTAACTGGTTCCTCAAACTGATGAACACCCAGCCCAAACCACCTGATGATCTCCATATTCTTTTTCATGCTCAGCCTATACATTAAGCTTGCTGGAGAGCCAGGCTGCTGGTGACCTAGTTGCAGGAGTGACGTTGGCCAGTGATGTTACCATGGATGAATGCAGATGTATCATTGTGACACCAGTGTATGATGTCACAGACAGAATGAGCTTCAAACACCAGTAAAGTGAGAGACGGTTAACAGTCAGACCTAGGCTTAATGCTGTGGGTATTCGTGGCAGATGATGAGAAGGTAAAACATGGGGGCTATGGTATCTTTTACCAAAGTTTACAGCCGGATCAAGCACTTAAAAGATCTTGGTGCCCCCATGTGTATCTAATTCAGGAAATAAACACTAATAAACTGTAAAATAAAGATTGATTTTTCAAAATGAAGCAGAACCTACAGTAAGGTGGAAAATAACATTTATAGATCAGGGTAAATCCAGCAATGAAAAATTTCTGAGGTGCCCCCCTTCCATTGAGGCCCTGAGCACGTGCTTATTTTGCTTAATGCTTAATTCAGCCCTATTCTGGATTAGGGCTACTTGAGTTTGGGGCAGATTCTTGAAGAAGTGGAACCTTCTGAAGTGACTCTCATTAATTGCAAATGAGGTTTTCAGCTGTTGAGGCTCTATTGCTCTTTGAACCACAATTCAACATTTAAAGACAATATGGATTTACACCAGTGCAGGTCAGTGAAATGGACATCTTCCGTAACAAGTCCATCAGATTATAAAACAGATAGGACTGTAGGGCTCTCCATCCTTATTATACATTCACTTTCATCATTCATTACTACTTCCTTTCACAATTTTTGTTTTTATTTATGCTTCTTTGATTCCATGCATAACAAGGTCTGAACCCAGATTGAGATGGGTCCAGTTAAGTGTTTGACTTCAGGTGGTCCCATCCATGTGGTCTCCCAACCGCTGCCCTGCATGACTTATTAAAGCTTGCAATGGGGGCATGAATTGGTGGATTCAGGAGTTGTCAATGCATCCTCATGGAAGAGGGTAGTCCTAGCTGTCTTGAAAATTGGTGGCTTGATCACTCCTTAATATTTCCAACATGAGCCTATTGGCTTATGACGACTACTGTGAACAGGTCGCTAATACTGGTTGTTTTGAAATTGAATGGTGGAATGGTGGAGACCGCCTCCCCATCTTGACTCTTCCAGAGAAGAGGAAGACAGTATAGTTTTATAACAGTGGTTTGTGGGAGGTCACAGCTCAGAGGCAAGTGAGGGGAATATTTCTATATATAAACTTTAAACTTTTCCAATCTTTTTCCACCATCTCTTCTCCCTGGTCTCGGATTCTGCCAGTCATTTCCGTCAAATCCATATAGTTCATCAACCTGGAGATCTTCTGTCCGAGGCTCTTAACTCTTTTCCAAGTCCCTTCTGCAGGTCTTCTTCATATTCTTTGATGCTGAAGAGCAGATCTCGGGGAGACTCCGGCCCAACAATGCTTTTATTCCTTCTCGACAGATCAGCCAGCTCTCCATAGTTAAAACTAAGGTCCATATAATATTTCAGGACATGTTTCAAAATTCCTCCAACTCCAAAGGCCCCCACAACCCCAATCACCTCCTGGCCCAAATCCAGGTCCTAACAGTCAATAAATCCCTGCATAAAGGGATCTATCCAACTTTCCTTCTCCAGCCCAAGCAGGGCTCTGATTCTCAAAGGCTGACTTTTTCTATATTCAATCATAACAGGCCTCAACTTATAGTCCTCCATTTGCCTCTGTAAAGCTGGTGCTCCCACTTGTATTATTTTAGGTTCAACAACAACCACTTTCTCCTTCGTCTTCTCCCCAATTTGTCCTGTCGAAATAAATTCCTGTGTCAAATCCTGAATAATTTCTGTGTTGGTGTTCACTTTTTGTCCCAAACTAATCACTTTTTGTCCCAAGTTATCAATTTTAGTAGTCATAACATCCGTCTTCTTGTGGAGCTGTTCCAGTGAGTAGCTTATCTAACATAGTACAGTCACCAAAACTTCTTCTGTCAATATTCTTAAATGGTCCAAGGTCAATCCCTGATTCTC